GAATCAGGATAAGGATTTATGATGGGACAGGAGGGAAGGAATGGTGCCCAATCACTTGGATGGTTGGGGATTGAGTGCTGACCTGCATGAAGTGAGACCGTCGCTCTACCATTCAGACCAAGTATTTATCAACCTGGAGTTTGAACAAGGTCTTTCTTTAGCACTTTACATTCCTCAGTTTTTATGCTCTTCATTAGCTTTGTATCCTCCACAAAAATTTACATCTATGTTCACTCTCAGGTAGAGGTCATTTAAACAGATTAGGAACAACCTAAGGACTAGACTGTGCCATGAAATATCCTGCTTGGTATATTCCTCCAGTCTGACATCTGTCCTCTGAATGTGACCTACTGTTTCTTGTTTGTCAAGTACCTGTAGTTCACAGACCCCAGATATCCCAGACTGCCTCACCATCTTATACACTAGTCACTTGTGAGGAAGAGTGTCAAATCCTTTTTTTGACTGTAAATTTACCCAGTCTTTCTTTTATGTTTTGGTTGTCTTGTCATAGAACATTTATCACGTTTGTCAGGCATGATTTTCCACCTCTAAAACTGTGTTCCTCCTTCATTACAAAGTTTGACCTCTCCAGGTGTTCTGCTATTCTCTTACTGATAAATTTATCCAAGTTTTATGAGGAATGCATTTTAATGACACTTTTATAGTTAATGATTTCTGTCAGCTCTCTTTCTTAAATATAAGGACATAAAAATATATGAAACTGCAGAAGGCTTAAGAATATATGAGACTGAAAAGTCCCATTAACCTATACATTTGAGCATTATACCCAACTGAACTCACTTGTACAGTATGATTAACCTACGTTTGAGACAATCCAGTGATCCCACACCTATTATGTTACTCTGTAATCTGTTCCATAAATTGACAACTACAGTATATCCAAATAAATACTGTATATACCTAGGTCTTTTCTGAATGTAAACAATAAATTTGGATCCATTGTTTTGTGTTCTGTTTTGTGTTTGTATATCAACATTAATATCACCCTTGTTACAGTATACCCCCTTTCATCTATTTGGATAGTTCAATTGTGTTACCCCTTATTCTTTGCATTTCTAGAGAATGTAAATTATGCTCTTTTAATATCTTCATAAGGGAGGTTTCTATTTCCTGAAATTAACTTTGGCATTCTTCTCTGTACACACTCAAGTGAATTTATGCCAATTCTACAATATGGTGACCAAACCTGAATTGCATAATTTAAATGAAGCCTAACAAGGATAAGATAAAGGTAAAAAATAATATTAGATTTTTCATTACTAACTTTTAAATATGAATCCAGCAACCTCAAGATCTTGTGATCTTCCTCTTGCAAAGGAGAAAGGACCAGTGTGGGAGCATATATCCCCAGTGGAGCCAGGAGTTTAGCCTCCCATCACATTCCCAGAGAGGGTAACCAGCAACCCAACCACAGCCCAAGCTTGGCAAAACCACTGCAGTCCCCCACACTCACATTTACCAAAGAGAATGTAATGTGCAGTTGACAATTCATAGTTTCTGGGCAAAGCAGAGATGGAAGATGTGAACACAAACAGGTGTGAGGTACTCAAAAAGCAGATATTTCACATCTTTCTACAGCCATTACATTTCAAATGTACATGTACAAACATGTACATGTACATTTCTACAGCCACAGTAGAGTGGCTGATGGATAAATTAGGAATTGGCCAATATTGACAAAAAAGGATTGGTTCCAGTGGGCCTGCAGCCTGAACTAATGCAGGAGATTGAAAAACAGAACAAACCAATGCTGGCTAAGGCATTATCAGTAGAGGAAGCATCAAAGCGCAGATACTTTTAAAACAGTGGAAGATATGTATCCACACCACCCGCCCGAAACGCTATGCGTACTAGTGGCTTTAGGAATTGTATGTACTAGCTCATCTCTAAATTCCAACATTGTTTGTAACTCATCTTCAATGTATGTAACTTTACCTGAACAAAAAATCTAATCTAATCTAAAACCATAAGCAAAGACGGCAAAAGTCTATATTGTGAACCCCAGTCATGTAAAAACTGAAGTTAAAGGCCAGAAAAAAAGTACACATTGAATGGATCACAAACCTCAGAGGCAACAGGAAAGACCACTGGGAACTAAACTGATGTTCATCTTGAGAAATTGCAAGCTGTGGAGTTAGGTAGGGAACCAGATATGGAAGCCAAAAACACACTACATTAAATTCCACAGGGTTGAGGGACACAGGCAACCTGAGCCATTACAAAGATAGGCAGGTGGGCTAGGTGCTGGGAAAGCATCTTTGTGAAGCCACAGCAGAACTAATGCTCCTGGGAAAGCCAGCATTGCTTAGAAGTGAGAAGCTGGTGACAGATCTTGCATAGGCCATCAGGTGTTTAGCTGATGACACCAAGTAGAAGAATGAGGGAGCAGTGTGTCCGAGACCTCAGGTTAACTGTGGTACCATCTGGTGGCTGTCGGGTGAAATACAGTCTGGGTATTTACTCATAGCAACAATTATTTTCTTTGTTTACCTAGAAGAGTCATATCTTTCAAGCAGTCACATGTTTTGCTGCACCTTTGCTTTTTAGGTGGATTTTGCCCAGTTTTGAGGTTTATCTCTGATCCCTTGCCAGGAACAGATTCTGTTCTTGGTACCTGGAACAGAACATCTCTAGGCCAGGAACAGATTGTGTTCCAGGTACCAGGAACAGATTCGGTGTGCCTGGCTTCCGGTAGGTGCGGATGGGTCTTGTAGGCCTGGTGTATCAGACTATGGCTTGATGGTGTCAGAGATAAGTGCAGGAAGCTACTAAAGAGTTCCTGCCAGAAAACTATTTTATTTCCCCCTAATTCCTATCTTCATGCATCTGTATTTTGTTTCCTTCAGGTTCCATTTTAACTTTAACTGTCCTCCCTCGAAAGGTGCTGGCATTTCTGAACACTTTGTCATATGACGCATGTGTGTGTGTGTAATTACCTAAGTGTGTAGTTACAGGATGAGAGCTAAGCTCGTGGTGTCCTGTCTTCCCAGTACTCTTTATCGTATAACACTTTGAAACTACTGATGGTTTTGGCCTCCTTCACCTTCACACCTCGCTTGTGCCAACCATCTACCACTCTGTTTGCAAAGGAAAACTTTCAAATATTTTTTTTGCACTTTTGCTTCTTTAGCTTGAATCTATGAACTTGACGTTCTTGATGTTGAAGTTTTCAAGAAATCCTCTTTGTCAGTTTTGTCAATTCCTTTTACTATTTTGTATGTAGTGATCTTATCTCCTCTTTTTCTTTTGTCTTCCAGGTTTATCAAATGTAACTCCTTTAAAACCAAACTATAAGGAGAGGCCTCTCCTGGCAGTTCTTGTTTTTCAGTTCTGAGAGCTATTTACCAGTACTGTAGTAGTATATCTTTGCACCTTTTCCAGTTTGTTGTTGGGTTTCTTGAGATATGAGCATCACACAACCACTGCATATTCTAATTTTGGTATCACAAAAGTTGCGAACAGTTTCTTTGGTACGTATTTCATGATCCATGTATTTAAAAGCAATTCTGAAACTGGAAACTGCTGCATAAGCTCCTTGTACAATGTTCTTTATGCAGTCCTCTGGTGACAGTCTCCTTTCCATAATCACTCTTAGATCTCTTTCTTTGTCAGAGTTCTTTAATGCCTTTCCACATAATTTTTATGTTGTGTGTGGTCTATTTTCTCCTATTCCACATTCCATAACATGGCATTTAACACATTAAATTAGATTCCATTTGCCAAGTCGTGCTACATACACTAATTTTATCCAGGTCTTCTTGAAGGCTTGGAAATTGTCTAAGTTCCTTATCTTCCCTAGTATCTTTGCATCAGCAAACATGTTAATATAGTTCTGTATTCCATGGGTATGTCGTTTATGTAGGCAATGAACATCACTGGTGCAAGAAATTAATTAATTGGTACTCCACTTGTTACATTTCTCCAATCCACTACATTGCCTCTGGTTGTACTCACCTAGTTGTGCTTGCGTGGGTTAAGTTTTGGCTCTTTGGTTCTGCCTCTCCAATGTCAATCAACTGTTGTACAGATTCCTGAGCCTATTGGACTCTTATCATATCTACATTTGAAACTATGTATGGAGTCTGCCTCCACCACATCACTTCCTACACACACACACACACACATACATGTATATATATAGGTGAGTACACACGCACACACATTACTTAGGTAATTACACACACGTGTGTGTGTATACTCACCTAGTTGATGAGTGCACACACCCGTGTGTGTGTATTTATTATTTGTATCTGCAGAATCGCGCTATTGGCTCTTGAACCCTGCCTTTCTAACCAATTTATTTTTCCTCTATTATGTCTACTACATATATTTCTCTTACACAAGCACGCACACACACACACACACACATCCCCAGGAAGCAGCCTGTAGAAGCAGTCTAACTCCCAGGTACCTATTTACTGCTAGATGAACAGGGGCACCAGGGTGAACGAAACTGCCCATTTGTTTCTGCCTCTGCCAGGGATCGAACCCGGGCCCCGTAGGACTACGACCCCAGAGTGCTGTCCACTCAGCCGCGAGGCCCCATGTGTGTGTGTGTGTGTGTGTGTGTGTGTGTGTGTGTGTGTGTGTGTGTGTGTGTGTGTGTGTGTGTGTGTCTGTCTGTCTGTCTGTCTGTCTGTCTGCCATATTTACATGTTTGTTTTCTTGCCAGTTATAGTGAACTTTAGTTACACAATACAGTACAGTATTAGAGATTTTCTTCATCATCTTTACATCAAATATTTTCAACCACTAAGGCAATTGCATATACAGTATTACCTCATCCCCAAATAAATTTATATAGAATAATTTTATTTTATTTAGATTTGGTTTGTTTATCACCATAATTTGCAGATTAGAATGAAGTATTTAGTTAACAATGTGCATTCCTTCATATATCAAGCTGAACCTTACCAGTGTCCACCTCCCAGTACTGGATTGCTGCGAGCATGCTAACTTGTCATTGTGCATGTCTCTAGGCTATTGCGTCGAGACTTCAGCCCCAGTGAGCTTACCGGTTTCAACAATACTGGCAACGTTTGTAAGTTGGTTATTATTGTTTTGTAAAGCCATTCTGTATTGTTCGTTACGCTGTCCTTTATGTACTATGTCCAGTTTATTATGTGGCTGAGAAATAGAATTACAGTATATAAGGGTTGAGATTCTAGAAAAAGAAATACTAGTTCAGTACAGTATTCTAAAGATATCGTTAATTTTTGATAGTCCACTTTGGTGTTAGCTGCCATTGCAACTAAGTTTACTACATGAGTAAACTGGACATTACCAGCTGAAGTTACTCTGTTGTACTTAAAAAAAAATCTTGAGTGTGATGATCAGCAGTTCAAATGTTCATAAAAGATAAAATATGTTGAAGTTGTCAAAGTATATTAAATTATATTGCTGATCCTTAAACATTAAGATTAATATGTAAAAAAAAAAGTTTTGTTATAATTTCTTTAAAATATTATTGCTTGGTCATCTAGTAGTTGATGCTTTTATGTGTTATTAGTAAAATATTTGGTATAAAACTATGAATATTGTACTGCATTAACCGCTTCAGAAATCTGTAAAATGTAATTGCATAATTCTAAAGCTCATGTAAGCATTTTGTAGGATGATAAATCTTGTAGAGAGGCTCATAGACCTGCCACTATATATTTACATAGAATTGCAAGAATGCTGTTTTGTTTTAACTAAATATATAAAGTATGTACTGTAATTCCCTAAGTATGGTTACAGGTATGTATGTATGTATGTATGTATGTATGTATGTATGTATGTATGTATGTATGTATGTATGTATGTATGTATGTATGTACTCACCTAGTTGTGCTTGTGGGTCTTGAGCTTTGGCTCTGGTCCTGCCTCTCAACTGTCAATCAACTGGTGTGCAGATTCTGGAACCTATTGGGCTCTATCAAATCTACATTTGAAACTGTGTATGGAGTCTGCCTCCACCACATCACTGCCTAATACATTCCGTTTGTTAACTACTCGCCACTGAAAAAATTCTTTCTAATGTCTCTGTGGCTTATTTGGGTACTAAGTTCCACATGTTACCCTTGTTTGTGTTTCACCAATGATTAGTCTGGTGGCATACCACTGAATCTTCTCTAACCTTATCTTGTGTTTAACTAGGTATGGACTTCAGGCTGGAGCTGCATACTCCAGGTATATATATCCAGGTCTGACATAAGTGGTATACAAGGTTCTGAAGGATTCCTTACACAAGTTTCTAAAGACAGTTCTTATGTTGGCCAATCTAGCATATGCCACTCATGATATCCTTGTGATGAGGGCTTCTGGGGACAGATTTGGTGTGATATCCAGATCTTTCTCTCTATTTGACTCTTGCAGGATTTCACCTCCCAGATGGTACCTTGTGTTCAGCCTCCTGCTCCCTTCCCTTAAGTTCATTACTTTACACTTTCCTGTGTTAAAGTTTAGTAGCCATTATCTAAGCCATTCCTCCAGTTTGGCCAGGTCGTTTTGTAGTCTCTGTCTATCTTCGTCTGTCTTGATTCTTCTCACAATTTTTGCATCATCAGCAAACATTGAGAGGAATGCATCTATACCCTCTGGAAGATTGTTTACATGTACTGTACATAGTGGCACCTTGGCTTACGAATGCCCCCCTTTACAAATTTTTAGAGTTACAAGCCCAATTTCTTCGTAAAATTTGAATTGGGTTACGAACTTTGCCTCGAGTGGTGGTTTGTTGATACACGTATGTGTAAACTGAACGCATGGTTCCTGGTGGCACGGTCACCTGCGCTTCAGTTTACCAGTGACTCCTGCTTAATGATGATTGTGCTTGAATTCTTTGTAAAAAATTGAATTGTTTTTCTGCTTTTTTGGGTTTTGAACATAAAAGTAATTATTATGTATATATCATGCCATGGGTCCCAAGAAAGTCAGTGGTAAGGTTCAAACTAAGAAAACACATGTGAGGATGACCTATAGAGGAAAAACAAGAGATCATTCAAAAACATGAAAATGGTATACGGGTTGTTGAACTAGCTAGGCAGTACAACAAATCTTCAGGTGAGGCCGAGGCAGTAGAGGATGTTCCGTCCTCATTAATTAAGAAAATGTGTGCAGTATGGGAAGAACTGCAAAGTTTTACTGAAAAGACTCACCCAGATAAAGCTTTAGCAGGCCATTGCATTGACCTTAATGACAATGTGATGTCTCACTACAGACAAGTTTTAAAATGTAGGGAAAGACAAATGTCTTTTAGACAGATTCTTAGTAAGGCAAGCAAGGAGTGAATCCCTGTCCCGCTCCTCCTCCTGTGTTCTGTTGTCCTACCATCATGCTTTCCTTTAGGCATATATTGTTGAATGTGACAGAAAGGGTGAGATCAATGATTCTAGTGTGAATCTTCTCTATTTTCCTTACATTTTTCTTCACTTGAGAAAGAAGTTGAAAAATTAACTCTGCAAAAGTTAATTTTTACAATTTGATTTGGCCTGGACACTAAGAGATACATTTCATTAATTCTTGTTAACATTCCCAAAGGCAGCGTTCGAATGTTTATAAAGTTTCTCACTGCCGGATATATATTCGGGAATGAGGTGAAGGTGAAATACCTCACTTATGGGTTTATAGGTCCATTGCATCTTACCAATCTACTGTTTGCCGTATGTTGTATGTTCTGTTGTATTCTCAGTTATCAGAGTGTACAGTAATTTAATGCTAGTTGGCTGTTGATAGATGGCTTAGATACTCAGTTTCCACCTGTGTCCCCTTGTGCGAGTACTGCCTGTACTGCCTGTGTTAAATAATCTGTCTATCTACCCTATCATTTCCTGAGAATTTTGTATTTGGTGATCATGTCTCCTCTAACTCTTGTGTTTTCCAGTGACATGAGGTTTAATTCCAGTAGTCTGTCCTTGTTCCTCATACCCCTCAGCTCGGTTACTAGTCTGGTGACATCTATGTATATGTATGTATATACAGTATATATATATATATATACATTATGTATATATATATACATTATGTATGTACGTATGCACTGCAGGTATGCTGGTTTACCAATGGGAAAGGAAGTCACTAGACTTGTTGAGGTGCCCCTAGCACTGTTACCCATCCATTATTGGTTAGTCCCAGTGTTGTTTATCATGCAAGTCCTGTTCACATCATCCACTATATACCATTTTGTATACACAGTATACAGTATATCTTTTATTTTATATGTATCCATGCAAACCCAAACCTTGAAGGGTCATTTTGGTACTTTTTGTATCAATGGTAACTTGCATGGTACTTTTTTATATGCACAGTCTTAGTGAGTAATTCAGGATTTTTTTTTACACATTATAAATAATAATAAACACAACCTCTATAAAAGTTAGAATAAATTTGTATTACTGTGCGTGTATATGATTGCGTGTAGAGGTCATACCCGACCCAACATAGATGTTCTTAACCTTGTCACCCTTGTCATAGGTGTTAATATTATGCAGGTTTTTGTTAACAGTCTTGTGGGAGAAATTAGTTTTGTTTTAAGACCAAGGCATTTATTACCTACCGTAATTAAAAATTTGAAGGTTTATTAAGATGGTATAACATACAAATAACATAAACAGATATTTTAAAAACATTCCTGAAATCTATTCTTTTGGTTAAGTTTTTCTATAAAATTTTGTTTGAATCTAAATAAATTAATATAATGTACTGGACATGGAAAGACTGTTCTATATTAGCTCTCAGAATGATTCATATTGCACCTCCAACGAACCAAATTCTGACCTCCATTGAATTAAAAATTTCCAGTTTCGAAGAGAGAAACATTCATAAGATTTAAAAAAAAAAATAGCTTATAGACTTTTATCACATCCAAGTTGTTTCTTATGGCCAAGATTTAAATATAAGACATATTTTTAACCATATTAAAGAGATATGAGACAATATCTGTTCTGCCTGAGCAAAACTTGTCACTCAAAGTTAACACTATATTTTTTTTTGTTCGTCAAGGGGGGGGGGGAGGGGGAATGGTTATTTATGACTGTATAATAACAAGGATGGTAAGATATACTGTACATTTTTTCAGATAACCTAAAATAAGTGAAAAACTGTAAGGTAGCCTAAATGGAAGAAATAAGGATTCAAATATTTACTCCAATATATATAGAATATGCATCATGAATAATACAGAATTGTAACTGTAATAGAAGTGAGCCCTTTAAATATTATGTAAAGTGTTTATGCTACAAAGAATTAATATAGACATGCTGTAAATCATTAGACCATTTCAGCAGAAGAACTGTGGTAAACACAGACTATAGCACTCAGTGGCTGTATACTGTAGAGTGTTGGAAACCTTATGACCACATTCACAACAGTGCTCATTAGAGTTCACCTTGGTTTTCAACGCCTCTGCTATCATTTGTTTTTTGCTTATTTATATTTTAAAATAATTTAAATTTAAATGTATATTTTCATAATACTGTATACTGTATTCATTTTTTTTTTATTCTTTTGTACATTGTTAGTTATAACAAAAAAATTAATTTTAATCTAAAATTAGTATTGCAAAATAAAGCCATTGTCAGGTAGGAAAAACTTTAATACAGGTGAGTAACATAATGGTTTAGAAACATATACTGTACAGTACTCTTTCTACTTCAAATAAAAATGAATTACCCTTCACCAAATACCACCTAATTTTCACATATGATTATTACTAAATATTATGGATAAGCCTACACTTTCAATCCCACATCTAACACTTGTACAACTTCAAACACTCGAATGCAACTTGTAAGAGGATTTTTTGAAGATTGAGATTATAACTAACTTTACCTTAAATGCTATTATTTTTTCAAATGTTAATATGAACTGTTTACAAAACTGTGTATAATGACATTTCAAATTTCAGCCATTAACTACATAGCAGAGGCTCAGGTGGTAATTCCTTGTTGGGTAATGTCCTGGCAACAGCCACAAATATGCAGTTAATTTACACAGTGGGTAGCCACTGATATTGCAATGATAAGTTAATTGTTTGTGAAAAAGCTGTTTGATCTCATGGGCCAATTGTCCTCAAGTACAGGTACTTAAAAAAAAATAATCTGAATGCTGTGGAGCTCTGTGCATGAATGCATGTGTAGTACTGACACAGAAAAGGAACATATTTTATACAGATGTCATGAGGAACTGTTGCATGAACTGCACCAGGCACATGACTCGGGTAGCTACTGGGCTGCCGGGGCTGCCATCTGGTGGTGGTGGAGTGCAACTAACAAATGGTGTTACCCCAATCTAATCATCTCGTCATAACAAAAAAACGGGAAAGTCAAGAAATTTACTACAGTATAGTGTTTGAATGAAGGTGAAGGAAAGACCCAATACATCTGTAAGTCATACTACAGTATATATATAATTTAAATCAAATTTTCAGATAAAACCTACATTCTTTATCAAGGTGCTGTTAAACCATGTTCTGAACAAAGATTCTAGGCACATATGTTTATATGTCTGGCAGAACATCTCATGTGGCATCCATCATTAGACGTCATTATGATTTTGTTCCCCAGAGATTCATCAAAAGTTCCAGCATCCCATGGGGAATCCCTGGGGAGCATAATCATAACAACGTCTAATGATGGCCGCCCCGTGAGATGCTCTGCCAGGCATATAAACGCATGTGCCTAGAATCTTTTGGTTAGAACATTGTTTAGCAGCACCTTCATAAAGAATGTAGTTTTCATCAAAAAATTTGATTAAAGCTATATACACTTACACATGTAGTTGAGGGTCTTTTCTTCATCCTTAAAAAAGTGTCATGAGCATGAGAGTTTGTTGTTGTAAAGTAAAATACAGTAGTGAAGATAGACAGCAGTCATGGAAAGATAATTTGAAGTTTAAATATTTGCAGTCCATCAATTGGAACTGATATTTGAATGTTGCCCCCCCCCACCCCCACCCCAAAAAAATCCTATATGAGAAATAATATTTCTTTTTCTGACTGTACTACTGTCATATGGTATCTGACATCTTAGACCAGCCTTCATTTAATCTACAGAATGCCTTCTCTTTTATGATGTAATATTTTTGGTGTTCTTTCCCTTCCACTTCTTCTCTTATGTGTTCCATCTATATACAGTATCTGTATATATCCATCTACTTTATATACCTGTATACAGATAGATCTTTATCTACATCTATATCTATATACATACATATAGGTACATACTGTTACAGCTAGTACTGTCTGAGCTGACAGCTTTTCAAAAAACTGCCTTACACCTAAATATAATACTATTACTACTTATAATAATAATAAATAATTCATTGTGTTAGGAAACAGGCAGCCAGTGTGTGTTTATACACATTAGGCTTATACTGTATTGAGGTTTCCCCCCATCCAAATCGAATTACAGACCCCCCCTACCAGGATGCAACTTCACACAAAGCTGTCTTAACTCCTGGGTACCTACTTGCTGCTAGGTGAACAGTTGCATTAGGTGATGGGAAATGTGCCCAACCACTTCTGTCGCACCTGGAATATGACAGCTAATGTGGTGAGGAACATGAATTTTGTATTTATTCATGCATATTACACCCCATATCCATCCTGTGGGTGGGCAGTAGTGGACCCTGTACCTATCCTGTGGGACAGTAGTGGACCCCATACCTATCCTGTGGGTGGCAATGGACCTCTGTACCCATTCTGTGGGCAATAGTGGACCCCACACCTATCCTGTGGGTGGTAATGGACCCCCTATCCATCCTGTGGGCATTCGTAGACCCCCATACCCATCCTGTGGGAAGTAATGCATCCTGTACCCACCTGTGGGCAATAGTGGACCCCATACCCATCCTGTAGACAGTAGTGGAAAAGGTTATATAGGAAATATATATATATATATATATCCTGTATTACACTTTTACATACTGATAGCATAATATAAACATGCATGTAGCTATAGCAATAACGTTAACACCATCTTTAACACAGTATTTAATATATATATACAGTAGAGGTAAAGTGTGTAACGACCCGCTGGCTTTCTCATCCATCCCTACTCCTTCCCCAGTCTGTGATCCTCTGTTTGAAAAGGTAGGGCAGAGGGAAGGGGGTAGAAAAGTGGTATCCAAGGTAGCTGGTTGTCACAAGACACAGCTATATTCTACAGTGCACCCTCCCTAATTTGGACCTTCCTATAATAGATCCCTCTAAACATTAGAGTTTTGTCTCATCACGTAAAGTAATTTCCATTAAATCGCATTGGTTTTCTTAGTTTTTTATTTGTAATACAGTATTGTTCAAAATAATGTATTCATATTTTAGAAATATTTTACTAAGCTTGAACTCTGCTATGAATTGAACAAATGAGTTTTTTTTTTTTTAAGTATCCAGACCTACTGTGAGGTATACACCAGCTGTGCGTTTTCTGTGTATGAGTGAGGTCTGATCTCTCGTTATTCAAGTACAGTACAGTATTTCATCATTCAGATTCCTGAAGAAAGTCTATGTTTGCTAGTCTTACATACACTGTACTGCTGATGTTACTTGGTTTATGTGTGCCTCAGGAGATATGATTGATGTAATATCAATCCCCCAGTTAGATATAAGGTGCCATATGGAAGGGGGAGGAAACTCAATGATTCAAAGTCTTTGAGCCTTTTTTCCCTCCATATAGTACCTTGTCTCTGGGCTTCTTTTCCCAGCACTTATGTTCATTATGTTGCATTTGCAGTCTTGTGTGTATGCATTTGTATGTACAGTATGTATGTATGTATGTATGCACTGTGCCACCTTTATTTCAAGGAGTTACTACTTCTGATGAAAATCACAATAATTTTTTAATGACATAAAAAGTGATACTAGTACTCATTAATCACTCCCTGGAATTTTTCTTGTCTAATTTCTCTTTACCAGCTGGACTTTTCTACTGGCTCTTGGGCAATTTTTATTCACAGATGTTGCTTGCGTCGTTGCTAAGGTATCTTACAATTCTTTAATGTTCTTGTGTTTCCGTTGCATAATTGACCATCAGATTATGACAGTTTTCCAGCTTTTTCTTAATTTTTAGTGTAGGCCTACATTCTTCCATCTTTGCTGTTAATTTCAAGATGCTTTGGCTTACACAGTGTGTTCATTCTGTGTCCATTTGATCTTATTTCAAATGGCAGTACCCTTTTCTAAAAATGCTGTCCCTCTATTTTACTGTACAGCATTTGCTTTCATGGTGATTTTATTTTTATTTTCCAAATGCGTTATAGAATTTTTATAATATTTTCTAGAGTGAAATGGAAAGAAATGTATTTCTCGTATAGTTACGATGTTTTGTGCATTCGCAGGTATCTGGCCCTCTGAAGAAATACTCACATATTACTGCCTCAGCAACCTCAAAATATTCTCTGGAAAGTCTGTGTTAGAACTGGGAGGGGGAATGACCTGTTTGGCAGGCATGTTGGTAAGCTTTTTTTTTTCTTTTTTAACTAAAGCACTTTATGCCATGTTTGGAAAAAAAAGCTTCATCTATTATTCCTTGTTTACATAATGGTTTTGCGAATATACAGTACAGTGAATTCCTGCAATTATGTGAAGACAACGAGTCACAATAACGTGGCTGAAGATATGATGACTAAACCACACACCAGAAGATGAGGAGACGACGATGTTTTGGTCCGTCCTGGACCATTATCGACTTGATAATGGTCCAGGATGGACCAAAATGTCATCATCTCCTCATTATCTGGTGTGAGGTTTAGTCATCATACAACTATGTGGGGTGTGGGTTTCTAGAGCTCTATATATATACTGTATAGGCTGCGCATGTACTGATATGAGCAATCTCAACATGTTCTGACTCCTGTCATGATTTGCTGTTCAATATGTTTTGGTACTCCCTAGGTTAAGTATAGTACAATGACACGTATAAACCTTTGTTTAGAGTTGCTCCGTGAAAATTATAATATGTACTGTCAAGTGGAAACAAACATTATTATTTGCAACAGAGGGGACTTAGTGTAAAAACAAAATTTGAAACAGTAAATTGAATGAGTTGCACACATACTTTTAAAAAATTGTACTTAGGATTATTGAAATATTTTTATCTTAAACTCACAAGAATAAAGCGGTGAAGTTAATAATCATAATTTGAGATAAAGGTAAGCTTGTAGCATAGTACTGTGCAGTACCTTGTTTAGGCATAGGTATACTGACAGTTTGGAGGTACAGTACTAGGTAAAATGATCAAACGTACATATAATTGTGATTCCATTATTGCCTTGTTTTATCCCTTTTGACAGGTTTCTGCTAGTGGAGGGCCATCTAATATGGTGCTAACAGATGGCAATGCCCTGTCTGTCAACAATGTTAAAGTGTCCTTACAACGGAACGATTTACCTTCTAAAACGTGCTCTAGGTAAGTTGTTATACATACTGTATTTGTTAGTCTGACTGATGCGAAACAATGGATTCATTGGTGAAAACAGTGCATAATGCTGGACTTTCCACAGTGCATTTTCTATTATAGAAGGTTATCTGTTCTAAGTTTATGCATAATTGATGTGATTTATTACTTTGATAGCAAGTAAGAGGAGTGTCTTTTTATATTTGTGTAGCTAACAATAGATGATTTTTATATTTTTAATTTTTTTCAACTACTATAATGCAACATAGTCCAGTAGTATGTATTTATGTAAAAGATGTCAAGAGTTAACTCATTAATGCACAATGATATCAAAATAACATGATGAATCCATCAGTAAATATTGAGGCCATACATCAAATTTGAACCCGATTCCATCTATAGCCTCAATATTTAAACTGCAAGAAAAATATCAGGCTGGATAACAAGACCCTTTCAAACTAGAAATGCTATACCAATGATGATACTTTTCAAGATGCTAGTGACCTTTAGAGTGGAATACTGTTACACAATGGCATCCTCTTTCAAAGCTGGAGAAATTGTTGACCTTCAGAGCATGTAGAGATCCTTTACTGCTAGAATCCACTTGGTAAAACATCTGAACTATTAGGACCGACTAAAATGACTAAATCTGTATTCTCTTGAGCACAAGCAGGTGAGATACATAATACTGTAATTTACACATGGAAAATAATAGAGGGGCTGGTCCCAAACATGCATACAGAAATAACACCACATAAGACCAGAAGGCATGGCAGGATGTGCAGAATACTCCCATTGACAAGCAGAGGTGCAATAGGTACTTTTGAGAGAGAGAACTCTATCAACATTAGAGGCCTGAGACTGTTCAACACGCTTCCACTACTTATATGGGGCATAACTGGCCAACCTCTCGCAGTTAGTTTAGTTAGTTCATTTATTATGCATCCCATACCCATCTTGTGGGCAGTAGTGGAAAGACTTACTGAGGCACATAATGGGCTCAGGGAGTGAACCCCTAATTCATTTAGCCAAGCAAGTTACAATCTTGATGAGTTAGTTACAAAATTCAGTACACATCATCAATGGGTTCGAGATCAACCACAGGTACAGTTTCTAAATTAAGCAACTGACATAGGTGGAGAGCTAGTGTCACAATTGATATGTGACACTAGCTCTCCATGTTCCACGGCACCCCTTTCCCTTTATCTCTGGAGGTGTTAACAGCTGTGTCAGACCTTGGCTGGCATTGTGTCTACAGTTCTCAGCACATTAATCAAGAAATGTGCTTCCTTCGCCTGCAATGGCCATACAGTGTGGTGAAAGAGTTTTCATCAGTCTAGATAGCACCTCAGCACATCCCATTCTCTCATGTGGCTCCGCTTGGCTTCATTTAGAGTGTGACCTGGTGTTCCATTGCCTAAACAGGGAGGATTGTGTGCAATCCCTTTTCTTGTGGGAGTATACTCTACAAATAGCCTCATTTCTGGCTTCTCAGGTTTTAATCCTCTGTGCGGTCCACATTTGGAGCTGTGTTAAACATCCTCTCAGATAGCCTCTTCCTTTTCCATCCAATTTTAACAGTGGAAGGTAAATGGGGCCTTCTTCTGCTGGACTTACGAAACATTTGGTTTTATCCTCAAGTGGATCTGTTTGCTTCAGCATGGAATCAGCAGCTGCTAGTCAATGTGGCCCCATTTCCAAATCTTAAGGCTCTGGCAGTTGCTGTGTTTCATTTGAACTGAACTCGGCAATCTTTCCACTAACTTTTTCCTTCTGCCCAACTTCTCCTTCCTGTGTTGGGCCTCATCTGGGGCTTCTGGGGTTTCCATATGGCCAGTTTAATTGTGATGTCTGGCCCCTTCTCTCTTATTGTTTAACTTGATGAAGGCTGAATATTGCTACACTGGACTACATTATAGTCACAACAGAGATTATGTTTCCCCAGGTATTTACATGTACTGTATTGTTTTTTCTGTTATTACAGTAGTGATAAAATGAGCTCAGTAGATGAGGCATGTAACAAAGGTGGGAGAACAGTTATTTTGTTTGGCAGATATTATATTCTGTACCTGTGATTAATTTTAGAATTCTTGGGAGCATGATCAAGTCTTGCTAGTGCTGTATGGGTCATGCTCAGCTGTATATGCTTTACATTTATCGGTCAGCTGCCAACATGCAACATGATAAATGGCTTCGTCATTTTTAGGTGATGTACAGTACCTTAATTATTAATTACTGCAGTTACACATCTTATGCATGAAGTTTCCGGGATAATTGCAAAACATAATAGTAATAATGTGCACTAATGACAGAAGCTTACTAACAGCACAAATAAAAAGTCAGGAAAGCAAAGGGCATCTTATTTCCAGAGTTCTACGCTGGGGGGTCCAGGAAGAAGTTTTGCCACATCAAGGAAAATTCGATGTTGCCATGTGTGCTGATTGGTAGGTTAATTGTTGACTGGGTGAGCAGAAGACATTGGTAATCCATTCTGATTGTCAGGGGGCAGATAGTGGCACTATCTTTTAGTCACCAGGGGCAGATAGTGGCACTACCTTCTAGTCACCAGGGGCAGATAGTGGCACTACTTTCAAGTCACCAGGGGTAGATAGTGGTAGTGCCTTCTAATCACCAGGGGCAGATAGTGGCATTACCTTTCTAGTCACCAGGGGCAGACAATGGCACTGCCTTCTAGTCACCAGGGGCAGACAGTGGCACTACCTTCTAGTCACCAGGGGCAGACAATGGCACTGCCTTCTAGTCACCAGGGGCAGACAGTGGCGCTACCTTCTAGTCACCAGGGGCAGACAGTGGCGCTACCTTCTAGTCACCAGGGGCAGACAGTGGCGCTACCTTCTAGTCACCAGGGGCAGACAGTGGCACTACCTTCTAGTCACCAGGGGCAGACAGTAGCGCTACCTAGTCACCAGGGGCAGACAGTGGCGCTACCTTCTAGTCACCAGGGGCAGACAGTAGCGCTACCTTCTAGTCACCAGGGGCAGACAGTGGCGCTACCTTCTAGTCACCAGGGGCAGACAGTGGCGCTACCTTCTAGTCACCAGGGGCAGACAGGGGCACTATCTTCTAGTCACCAGGGGCAGACAGGGGCACTATCTTCTAGTCACCAGAAGCAGATAGTGGTAGTGCCTTCTAATCGGTAATTCCCTTCTAAATAGAGAATGTATTTAAGACTTCATGTTAAGCAAGTTTAGAGACTGTATTTAACAATTCATATTAAGCAAGTGTAGAGAATGTATTGAAGACTTCTTGTTAAGCAAGTGTAGAGAATGTATTGAAGACTTCTTGTTAAGCAAGTGTAGAGAATGTATTGAAGACTTCTTGTTAAGCAAGTGTAGAGAATGTATTGAAGACTTCTTGTTAAGCAAGTGTAGAGAATGTATTGAAGACTTCTTGTTAAGCAAGTGTAGAGAATGTATTGAAGACTTCTTGTTAAGCAAGTGTAGAGAATGTATTTAAGACTTCTTGTTAAGCAAGTATAGGGAGTGTAGTTGAGACTTTACAGCAAGTGTAGAGATCAGTTATTGCCTTTCTGTAATTTGAATTAAAAAATTACAATAAATATTACTTAAATAAATAAGTATTGTACCAAGCTCAGTTATGTGGTTTGTATCACATTAATACTTGTAGGTTTTAATTATGAGAAATACAATATTTATTTGAAGAATTTTAAATGTCTCCACAATCATTCAGAACTTGAATACTGTATAGACTAGTTAAGGTTAGGAAGTAGTTTTTTCCCTGCCCGTCTGACAATTAAAATACAAACTAATGTGAACTATTGCAATTAGATTCTAAGATTGTTAACTAAATCTGGAAACCACTGTCTTCTACAAGCTCATGTTCTACAAGCTTGTTAAACTGCTGTGAGCACCTTGCTCTTGTGTAATACTATATTTGGGTTTAAGCTGCATGTTTTCTGCGACTTATTTTTCATTCTAATTTATTTTAATTTATATTTTTCATCTGTAGTGAATATATATTTTTCTTAAAACAAGTAAAATATTAAACAATTTTTTTAGCATAATTACAGTAAATGTATTAGTAAAATAAAAATATAATTACTAAAGCTTGTATACAGTTGATGTTTTGCCTAAGACTCACGTGCTCTGGATCAAACATACAATGCGAGCAAGTAGGAAATACTTACATTAGGGTACCTTATCTTTAGGTGGTTCTAATGATCAGTATCTCTGTGGTCTGGTTTCTGACCGGGACCAAGATTGATCAAGCATTCACATGTCCACTTATGAAACCTATACTGTACATCTTTCCTCGATCATGATGGCTTAGTCTGTATTTGTTAAACAGTTTACGAGCTTTAAACATTTGCAACCCAAGGTTGTTATTGTTATAGACAACCTTGCATTGCTCTAGAACTTATAAATTGTTTAAGGGGCCTGGTGACTGAGGAGTATTTTTGTGAGGAAATTTAGGTGCACCTTCACCAGGCCTCGCCGCCCTTGATAAATGTAAATTACGGTAAGCCACCATGATTGAAGAAAGGTGTACAGGTTTTATAAGTGCACACTTAGTGCTTGATAACTGATACTGATGACCCTTTTGATAGTCTAAACCCCATCCACTCCATATCCTTTATCTCAGGGAATGAAGTGACACCTGCTTTACTTGCAACAAACTCATACATATCTGTTGAATTCGTTGGCAGATGTTGAAAATGTTCTTTTAAAATCATTAATGCAGGGAGATCAGTAAAATGTCTGGGAATTGATTCTACACTAGGCCAGTCCCTGAAGAGAAAGGTTTGTAGAAAAAACTGGGCTGAAAACATCCTGTCTCAAGCATCAGATATGGGTGTTGAAACCTTTATCATCAATGTATTATGGAACAATTACTGTACTACTAATTTTATAACCTGTAATGTATTTTCTTACAATATTTACAGTGTAATGCATGTTTTCACCACAATTTGAAAGTTATATATTTTCATTAAGGTTTTATAACTAAAATTAATTCATAATTATAATAATGAATCTAAATCCAGTACTATAATACTAATATTTACTTCCTTAATGACTGCCATGGGATTATAACTGACCAATCTTCCTAAAATTAACATACTAACTGTACATTAGTTTCTATACAAAATAGTTGTATAAAATTCCCATGAACAAAGAAAGGCAAAAAAAAAGAAAGATGGTTACGACAAGTATTGATATTAATATATCACACCATTGTGATTTCTTTGTGTTCGAAAGGATGGTGGAGAACACCATTATCAAGAGGCCGGAGTGTAGGCGGGTTATTCGTAAAAACCTGGTCTGGCTCTAGTTGGGGCCTCCAGAACTACTTCCCTACTGAATCTAGTAAAGTTCCGAGTTCAATAACTTTTGACCTATCATGGCCGAGATGGTACGACAAGTCTCTGGGAGTAACCAGAACGCTGGTTCAAGTCACTGCATTGCTCCAAACTGGTTTTCAAAAGTGAACTTTCGAAATTGTTATGGTACCTTTGTGTCCTTAACGTGAGTGTATACAGTACTGTACTCAAAATGCCGAACTATTTTAAAAGGAATTTTTTTTATTATGTTATGCATCACATATGACTTGATTAATTGTTTTGAATGTTTATTTGTTTGTATTATGCATGAATGTTGATTAGTTGCACTTAGTATTACAGTAATTGGAAGATTAATATCTATGGTGTGTCTGTGCACTTGAAATATTTACTGTAGTTGTTCATTTTGAGGATCTTTGTCATATTAGTTTTCAAAATTGCATGCTTTGGCATTATGCTGGGAAATTTATGTATTATGTGTTTCTAACCTCATGCTACATAACAATTTATAAATTAATATTAACAATTATTTAAATATTTTCATGCATATGAGTCTCAGTGGATTTAGTTTTTTAATTAGACTAGCCAGTAGCTTGAAAATAAAATGTTCAGAAAATGATAGACACAGTACTGTATGGGTAGTGCAGTCTATATAAATACATTTAATTAAGTAAAAATGCACTTGTACAGTAATAATAAATAGCATTCAGAGCATTGGTAGCCATTATAAATATAAGGGTACAGCATTTAAATTTTGTTATTAAATTTGACAGCTTATTTTTTGATGATGGGAGAGAGAGTTTGCTGTCAACCCTTCTGTGTGTGTTGCGTCCTGGAGGAACAGCCCTCGTCGTTGCTCCCTCTAGAAGTGGCACGTTCCAGAGGTTTGCCAGCATGTGTCGCCCACATTTTATGGTGGCTCTTGTTGATAAATATGATCACTTAGTTGACCAATACGTCCAGAAGGTAATGTTTACACAGTACTCTGTTTACAAAATAAAGATTTAAATTTTTTTAAATGTATTTTGACACTTGGATTTAGTATTTGCTAAGACTATCAGGGGGGGTACGTCATTCACAATATAGTAATGTATGCAAGATGTGCAAGAAATTTGCTTAATGAATTTGATATCCCAGCTATTCAGATTGGAATTGAGATCCAGTCATCTCACAATCATAAAAAAAATTGCTGGTTTTGTATTTGAGATAAATAAAAATAATTTAATTATGTGAGACGAGTGTAAGTTGTGGGAAAAATTTAAGCAGATTAAACACTTGAGTATATTTGGTGTGCTATAATATATGAAAACATTCAAGTATCTATTCTGTTTTCTTTTTCTGTGTATACTCATCATTAAACATTATTTATAATATTTGTGATCAAACTATACTATGCCATAGACTACTGTACACTCTTTCATAAAACAAAATAGATTGTTTTGGCTAATGTTAAGAAACTTGATGTTGGTAGTCAGTCTTCTCTAACATGTTTATCAATTCATCTGTGATTGCCATGGTAACTTTCCTGTTAACATTATTGTAAGTGCTTATATTTTATCTGCACATTTTAAATTAATTTTATTTTTATCACCAGAGTGCAATGGATCCATACTACAATGAGAATCTTCACTTTCCTCTTTTGATGATTCTCAAAAAGCTTGGGACCAACTAACTTCTGATTAAGAATTTCCAAGAAAGAGAGGTACAAGTACAGGTATTTGGAATATACAGTAATTTATTTCTTATTTCAAGTTAAACATGTTAAAACAATTCAGCTCTTGCTTGTATTTAGAATATTTTTGGTACCGACACAAAATTTTGAGGAACGTTGTTTAATCATATACAATACTGTGCTTCGTCTTTATATTACTGGAGAACACGAGTACGTTCCTATGTTTAGTAACATAATAATAATGTTATTATGTTTAGTAACACAACTTTTTCAGTTTCACTTTAACTCAGGTTCCTGTCTTTATTATATCAGTTAAACTGTTTCAAGAACAGAAAGAAAAGAACTGTTTTAAAAAAAAGAAATTAATTTTTATGATTTATTGACTCGTTTATAAAAAGGATAAGTTTTAAGTCTGCCATTTTCATCATCATCCCTTATATCGCCTTCCTCCTGCATCAACAATGTTTGTATTCCTGTATTCAGCAGTGAACCAATTATAGTGATGTATTTATCTTTATCAGAGAGTGATAAACTAATGCATCAATTTCACTGAATTCAGTCTGTTATAGTAATTTTGTGGTCAGGTTCTTCATTTATTTTCTCTGCACATTTCATCATTTGCTTCTGTTCAGGTTTGTTGCTTGTCTTTAAAGCTTTTAAGAATTGGCATTATTTTAATCATTGTTATCAATTGTCGTCAGGGGGCCAGAGTTCCCTCCAACATTTCTATAGCATAGTAGATAACATGCTATCCCCGCATGAGACAGCGCATGGTCAGTTGCAACTTGATTAGGGTCCAGGATGGGCTGAAATGTCATCACATTCCTTTCTTTTCATATGTGTGAGTTGGGTTAATTATTTTGAGCCATATTATAATGATTTATTCCTTACATGGATGTATTGCTATACTTCCTCTAAGGGTACATCAGCAAAGTACAGTTTGGTGGCCAAAAATACAGAAAAATCATGCTTATTATAGACAAATTTCCTGTGTATTCAGCACAGATAAATTCACAAAATGTTTTCTACTTTCCTCTGCAACAAGCAGCTCATACCTTGCACTCTTTCATTTGACTAAGCCTGATCTTGCCACAAGTTACCAGAGTAATATGTGGTGGGTTTTCTCAAAAGATTTCTGTCTCATAGGCATTATAAATTTGCTCCATAGTGAAGCTTAGATACTTTCATTAACATTAACTATACCTCATCTTCTTCATAATTTCCTCACAATATAGTTCTGTATTCAGCTGCCTCCTTCATGTCAGCATGCAACTGTTCACCAAAAACCTAAAATTCTTGAACCTTAGCAGCCATTCATTTGAACAATCAGTTTTCCATATTTCAATTTCTATATGGAATTCCTTATCTTTGCCATTATCACGGAGCTGAAACACCTTCACTTTATTTCTGCAAGTAATTATCAAATGAAGGCACCAAGTCGAGACTTAATTTCTGTAGGAATCACTCGGGTCCACAAAATATTTTTTGTATTTCAAGAACCTTAGTGGATTGAGAGGTAGCAGAAAAATATTTAATTGCTAGGTTAATATTCTAGCATTTAATATCTCATTTTAATTTCTTCACTAACTTGACTTTCAAAACTAATGTTAATGAAACATATTTCCAATAACACCACTAATTCCAATTGGTTTTGATCCTAAACCAGACAGTGCAGTTGAAATAAACATAACCCTCTTCGTTGTTTTATGACACTCTCGCAAGCACACGCTCAAATCCACAAGACTGTAGAGTTAGGTTTGTGTCTGATACATTGGGGTGTATTCCGGGGAGCTTTCTTATTAGAAAAGTCAGAATGGCAAAATTTTGGAGGAGACTGGAGACCAAGGGTTAGGGGGTGTGTTGCAGAAACATGTGGAGGAAGGAAATAGTTATCCAAAGACGGCACCAAGCCAACTACACCGAACAAAAACAGTGAAGGAGGCCTGACTTGAGCTGCAGAGTCTATAGACTGCAGCTCTTAATACAGACTTGTGACAGCTTGGGGAACAATTTATTAGACAAAGTTGCTTGTGAGTGTTGGTGGTCACCACCCACAAATGACATCTGTTTCATCTTACATTAATTTCATTGCAGTATCTGATAATGCTGATAATGTTTCTCACAATTTTGTACTGTATAGTGTTAGGTGAAAAACTCTGCATTATTTTGTTTATTTAAATTGTTTGACAAGATAACTTATCTGTTAAATTTGTTATGTTATTTTGATAGTCACAATGTTTCAGATAGTGGATAATGGATGTGGAACTGTATACTGTATGTGGGTTAACAAGCACCAGTACATTAGTATATTTTAATACATATACTGTATGTAGTTGTAGCACTTGTAGCTCAACATCCTCAGGTACCCATTTATATTACGGGCACAGTATTCTCTATGCTGTTGTGGTACTGGTACTTGTGACTTAACATCCTCCGGTACCCGAGTATATTGTGGTGCTTCTGTGCTATTGTGGTACAGTACTAATAGCTTACCACAACACCCTCATGTCTTATTAATTATTCTACTCAAGTTAAGTACTGTGTATAACAGTAGTGAACAGCCTATCAAGTACATTTATTGAGACAAGAAAATACATCTCAAAGGGATAAAGTAGCTTAGGCTATTTCTACCCCCTGAACAGCCTATCACTGACAAAAATCTATCTATAATTGTTCTATTAAAATATATTTTGGCCTAGCTGCTGCCAGCTAACTGAAATAAAATGTGATTGTTGATGTCAAAATCTATGATTAGTATTTGGCTTTTTGCAATGTTTCAATATGATGCAAGTTTCAATTTTCTTTTCAAATATCTGGGTGCCTATTTATCTACAATTCACAATTATACTTTCGTGTAAAAGGTAAAACTTATTTGTTGCCATTAGTGATTTGCGTTTGAGCTCACTTTTAAATTAATGATGCATATCAAAGTCCAAACTTTATCTTGAATTTCAGTAATGCTTGAAAGGCCTCATAAGAAATTTGTAGGGTATATTAAAAACTTTACATTTTCAATTAAATTATTCCATTAAACTTGAAACTGGACAGATAAAATTGGTGCTAAGATACAGAGTTATTGCACTTAATTTTTAATATATTAGGTGCTTGCTTGATTCTAAGAATTGGGTGGGCTAGTATGGCACCATTCTCTCAAGTGTATCTGCATCTGAAGTTTGTCATCTTTATAATGTTGTTTTCTTGCAATGTAAGCCTGTTATAGTGTAAGGAGTTACCAATGTGTTGTGAAGAAGCAAACCTAAATGCTTATTTGGGGTTTATATTGTGTGTTTGCAATGTTGACTGTTTGATCAAGAATAATATACTATACTTTCTAAAACTGTTCCATATATTTGGTACAAATTTTGGCTATTTTCAAAGTTATGAATCCTTATTGAGGTAATCCTCATTCTTGTCACACATTTTTGTTTTTATTGTAATCAAATTTAAATTCCCTCATTCTCTGTATACATTCTTGATTTTCAATGGAAGCAAGTATCAACTGCATCTTCTATGTGATAGCCAAACAAGCATGTTAAATTCTTTGTCAAATATTTGAGGCCAAAGAAGCATGTGATATTCTTTAGCAAATATTTGAGGTGCTCCAGCATGAGTCTTCAACAATGGAAAGTATCACAGATATTTTGAGGAGGAGGAGACAACCGCACATCAGAAAATGAAGCAACGATAATAATTCAGTCCATTCTGGACTGAAACGACTTGATAATGGTCCAGGACGGACTGAAACGTGTTACTTTTTCGTGTTCTGATATGTGATTTGGTCATCATATCTTCAGCCACATTATTGTGACTCATCATCTGCATCTTGAGAAGATTGTACTTATGGTTGCTACTTAAGAAAGGGAAGCTGTCAAATAGAACTGAGCATCAGACACAAAATAGATATAGATTTTTATAGGTTTAACCCTTAAACAGCAGTTATGGAGAAATGATTATACCAGCCTATGCACAAAAAATAAAACAATTAAAAAAAGACTATTTTTCATGATAGAATTATTAATTTGTATGCAAAATATAAGAAAAATAAGAAAATAAGTGAATATTTATTGTTTCACTGGGTGGAGGTACGCTCTGCCACTTGTCAACGCCCGGTGCTCAACTTTGCTGACACTTCCTGATTTATTCTCTGATGTTTCACTGATTGTTTTATCACTAGCTTTTCTTTATTTACATCCACAGAGAGCTTTTATATCCATATTTGCATCATACATGTAAAACAAAGACAATAATTGTTTAGATCATCATATGATGATGACTGCATTCCTTTAGTAACATTCATGACAATAACTGTATTTGTACCTTGAAATGGTAGCAGGATTTTTTCATGAGTCAAGGTAAACTCCATTACATCCACATAGACCTATTATATCCATATTTGCATCATACATGTAAAACCCAGACAATAATTGTCCGATATTTATGATTTTTTTTGCAGAGATATTCCTGCACGGGCCTAAGCCTCTAGCTGGCCCACTTTATATGATGATAACCACATTACCCTGTGAATCAACAGTTGATAAATGCTGCCTAAGGGTTAAACAAATTTATTTGCATTCCTGAGAGTTGCTTTCCTGACCTGTGACAATAAGGGTTTGGCTAAGCACCATAAGTATTATAAAAGTAATTTTTGTTCCATTGTAAATTACTAAACTTTGTTCATTTGTTTAGCTTATACAAATGGGAAAATTAAAAGTGTAGATATTTATTGTTTTGCACAGAACAGAGCATATTCACTTGTTTGGGGCTTTTGGATGTTTGATGTGAAAGGTGAATGACTCGAGACGGCTGTTTATATATACTCATGGTAATTTGGTAATTATGTTCAGCATTAATTGTTGTGTGTAAGTTACACACACTTTTGTGAATTCTGTACAAATATGTGTAAATGTTTCAAACATAGCATAATAATAATAATGTCAAAGTGCATCTTATTTTGTGGCCTGTTGTAATGAAACTATGTGCTTTATACATTGTTAAAAAACTTAAAAGGAATTTGATTATTGTAATCAAAGGATTTAAATGTTGTTATAATCCTGAAATGCATTTTGAGTCTGCATTATTCCTGCATATTAAAAGACATAAACTTAGGCTGTGACAATCAATAAGAATGTAGAACTAGTCAAGTCAGGCAGGACTCAACATGCACTGGAGAATTGTTTCAATTGTTTTGTAAATAAAGTATGTGAAATAAGGTGGCATATTATTTGTTAATAGTTGTTAACTGTTATAAAAGTAGCTTTAATTTTTGTCACATTTTGTCTGTTAATATAACGATGATTGTTTAAGTGTATTAACAGTCAAATCTGACCAGACAATGTGTGCATTCCTGTTCCACATCACAAATGTTAATGGTGCTGCAAATAACATTATGAAGTCAAATGTATATGTAACTATCATTGAAGCCTTGTATGTATGTATTTATCAGAGCACTAGGCAGGGTTCGACCACTCGCATGCAGGGTCACTGCGCACACCACTCTAGCCACTATACAATAAGTTCCTAGGCAAGGGAGCCTAGAAGCTGCATCATGCAGCCTAACCTAACCTACACCTAGCTGGAAAATCACTATAGTAACCAGATGCTAAAAACATTTCCATTCTCTTATCTTAGAAAATGAAGTAAACAAGAATATGAAATTGACATTCATACATCATAACTGATAAATGCAAATTTTACTTAATTAAAACAAACACACACACACACAAAGAACATTGTGCAAGGAGCCTATGCTATGCTTTCTAACTTCAGAATTGCTTTTAAATACATGGATGGCGATATACTAAAGAAATTGTTCATGACTTTTGTTAGGCCAAAGTTAGAATATGCAGCTGTTGTGTGGTGCCCATATCTTAAGAAGCACATCAACAAACTGGAAAAGGTGCAAAGACATGCTACTAAGTGGCTCCCAGAACTGAAGGGCAAGAGCTACGAGGAGAGGTTAGAAGCATTAAATATGCCAAAACTAGAAGACAGAAGAAAAAGAGGTGATATGATCACTACGTACAAAATAGTAACAGGAATTGATAAAATCGACAGGGAAGATTTCCTGAGACCTGGAACTTCAAGAACAAGAGGTCATAGATTTAAACTAGCTAAACACAGATGCCGAAGAAATATAAGAAAATTCACCTTCGCAAATAAGAGTGGTAGACGGTTGGAACAAGTTAAGTGAGAAGGTGGTGGAGGCCAAGACCGTCAGTAGTTTCAAAGCGTTATATGACAAAGAGTGCTGGGAAGACGGGACACCACGAGCGTAGCTCTCATCCTGTAACTACACTTAGGTAATTAAACACACACACACACACACATACACTTTAGATGGAGTATGTACTCTGCAATTCTTGCGTCCTCGAACGATTGTACCATTTAAGTTTTGGAGTCCAGGTTGACCTGGTGCATGGATCGACTCGAGCACCAAATGTTGTGCCATGGATCAGGGCTCATCCTACCTATAACAATCCCTGGTCTAGTATATACAGTATACTGTACTGTATATTCCATGGGGGCTTTAAATTATGAAATTCCATGGATTCGGCTTGCCACTTTTCATCTTAAGAGATTCTGGGGTCGTCAAGGGAGCTGACACCTTTTTAATGGAAGCATAGGGCTGATCTTGACCCACCTGTGTTGGTCCTACACCCCTTCCACCAATAACCCTGTAAAGTTGAGTTAGGTTAGCTCCCAAGCATCTGGCCTACATCCTTGGATAGATATATACTGTATATCCAGTATGTATATATGTATCCATAAAAGAGAATGGTCTTGGGTAGGGGGACTTATAGGCTGGTTCAGGTTGATCCTATTGGTCCTATTAAGATGGGGGTGAGGAGATATGACCTATAGTGGAAAGTGGCTGGCCGAGTCCCTAGATTCCTTGACAAATGCCAGTCATAAGTGCAGAGGACATGATGACCAAACCACACACCAGAGGATGATAAAATGACGTTTCGGTCCTTCCTGGACCATTATCAAGTCATATGTAGTCCAGGTCTAAGATGGACCAAAATGTCCTCATTTCTTCATCTTCTGGTGTGTGGTTTGGTCACCAGTCATAAGTAGCTTGGTGAAATCATGATCCAATTGTTGCTCTCAGGGTTTATACATGGAGTCGACCCTAGCACTGGATTGAAATGAGCACCTCCCTCTCCCTCTCTCTCCCCCCTCTCTTTCTTTCTTTCTCTCTGTCTCCCTCCCCCTCCCCCTCCCCCTGTGTGTGTGTGAGTAATTATCTAAATTTAGTTACAGGAGGCAATCCATCCTCTGAATTGACAGTACAGTTTAAGACTAAGTGTAATAAGTACATTTCCTTACTGTCATACAGTACATAATTGCACTTATGGGGCTGTTACATTTACCTCTCCATTTATTCTCCTCGTTTTCTGTTAAGACACTCAGAATTTAGGATGAAGTTTTCAAGTTCAATTTGCTATACACAAGAATTAAATATCAGGAATTTCTTTTTCAGTTTTATTAAACAAATAAAACTGTAATATCAATATAGCTATAGGTTAAGTACTAATTGTAATTAAGAAACAATAAAATGCTTATCTTCAAACACTAAGAAGGTTAGGTTAGGTCATGGTTTTCTTTTCAGCTTTTCAGGTAAACTCAAATATTCACAATATATTTGACACTACAGTACGGTTTAATACTAAGTGAAAATAAGTACAATTCCTGACTGCTATGAATAGTACATCATTGCACTTACTTGTGCTGTTACATTTACCTCCCCATTTTTGGAGGACAGGCTGGATTTTGGCCTCCACCACTTTCTCACTTAACTTGTTTCAACTACCTACCACTTTGTTTGCAAAAGAAAATGTTCTAATATTTTTTTCGACACCTTTGTTTTCTTAGCTTGAATCTGTCTCCTTCATGTTTGTGAAGTTGCTGGCTTCAGGCATTCCTCTTAGTCAATTTCGTTAATTCCTGTTAGTATTTTGTAAGTGGTGACCATATCGCCTCTTTCTTTTATCTTTTAGTTTTGGTATGTTTAATGCCTTTAGTCTCTCCTTGTAACTTTTGTTTTTCAGTTCCAGAAGCCATTTTGTAGCATGCCATTGTACCTTTCCAGTTTATTAATGTGCTTCTTGAGATTTGGGCACCATACAAATGCTGCATATTCCAATTTCGATCTCACAAAAGTCACGAACAGTTTCTTTAGTATTTCACCATCCATATAATTAGATGTGTGTGTGTGTGTGTGTGTATATACACTGGCTTAGAGTACTATATTATTATACAGTACATATCTTATAATACCGCATGTGTTGTTGTAACAGGTAAATGTAATAATTAAAGACATAACTATGAAACCTGTTTTAGCTTATACTTTATACAGTACAATATGTGTCATTGTTCATTGATATACAAATTGTTGACACTTTTCCAAGACTGTATGCTTAAGAAAACTAGTTGGTGTGCATATGAGTAATTCTGAAATAGATAACGTAGTTAGATGCTATTTCTCTCTTAACAGATTTAATAATTTGTATTTCCTACAGAAAGCTGTCATTAATGACAGCCAAGATTTGCATAAGCAATCATTACTATAAATACAATTTAAGGTAGTGAAGATTTGTTGTTAAACAGTACTGTAAATTAAATTTCTTTAATGGTTACATAAATCTAAGTTCCTTATCTTGTTCTGTTCTGTTTGTGTTCCAGAATATGTAGATGTTAACAATGGCAGCACAATATTATATAATTTGACTGAAAATACCAGACCTTCTCGTATCCATTAAAACTTTTTTAATTTACTTTTATAGGCCTTTGATTTCAATTAGTTACGCTTTTCAAGAATTTTGAGAGTTGAATGTTAAAAGCTCAAAAAGGCACGTGGAGTTATTCCATGTCAAATTTTGGATATGCGTTATTATGGTAGTCAAAATACAAATTTTGGATAATAAGATGCATGAATGCAGAATACATACTGTTGACTTTCTAGTATTCTGGTATGTAGAATGCTCTTATGAATCTTATGAATATTCAAATGAGCCTTTGACTTCAAGGAAAAAGACTGATTATTCAAGTGTACGAGTCTCTGGTGCACTCCCATCTCAACAACCGTGCCTTCAAAAGGCTAGATCTGTTTTGTTCAGCAGTGACAAAAATTATCTCTGAACCAAGTCAACTCTATACCATGAAATGTTAAGGGCCTCATTTCTAACAACACTATAAACTAGACTACATCATTATGGACATATTTGTGTAAATCACTGATGTAGAGCAGCGCAAGTTTTGCTAATCCTTTTCAAATTATTACAATATTGCTAACATAAATACATTTAAATTATTCAAGGTATTAACTAATAAAGTCAAGGTATTATAACCTATTGCTAAAACCCACAATCAACAAGCCCTAAGACAGGTAAAATCTGAAATGAATGACATTAAAATATATTGGATGGCTAAATTTAGGTTGATTCTATTTTTGAAATCTCGCTGATATTTGTCTATGGCTTGCGAATATTGAGAGACAAGTTATAATGGTTGTGCTTATTCAGTCATATTCATATGATTTTGATTGTTGAAAACCATGTTCTCGTGGTTCTTGAGAGTTGTTCTTTTGGACAGAAATTTATTACGTGCCATAATTTCGATAACTGGACAGTAAAATGTGCAAAGCACTTGGCAATGTATACAAAATGCTAGTGGGCTATGATAAGTGTTTAAGGGACACCAGATTGTGTTCTGGGTATCTTCAAAATACTTGAGCATTGAAGTAGCATGACAATAAATACGGTAACTTTTTTTCTCCATCTACCCTAAAATTTGGAGCATTCTGGCTGCTGAAAAAACTTGCACATTTAAATAAGTAACATAACACTCATAGCACTGGAGTAGTATATGATGAAGCCATGTGTGTGGCCGACATTGTCAAGGTATAAAGTAATTATATTTTCAAGTACTAAACACGGGTAAAGGTTTTACAGTTAAATAGGTATTTTTGCAGCTTTTATGATCTATTGTAATTTACTAAGAGTACTAAGTATTTAAAAAAAGAAAAGTTTGTGCAAAGGTGAGCAGATCTACAAATAGTGTAATTATTTTTTTACATTACAAAAGTATTGGATGTTGAGTTTAAGATCATTAAAAATATAAATATTTACCATTACATAGAACACAGATTTCACTAATTTTCATGTCCCAGCATAGTATATTAAGCTGTAGAGCTTTAGTCCATATTCATTTTCACTTATATGATCATCAGATAAAGATGAAACATGGCTTCAAGGACAACAGGAGAGAGGGAGCTTACTCTTATCCATAGAAAAATATTTTTGGTTGTGTGGGCCACTTGTTTAAATTTAGTATCACCTTTCCATTGATAATACTTGACAACTATGATAATGATGGCTTTTGAAATACAGTATTAATATCTTAGTATTTATGTACTGTAATTTATATTTATGTAGTATGTATTTACTTTGATGTTTTTTGTACAGTTGTCTCATTGTTATATTTTTAATTTAGATTTTAATGACCCTTAACAATTAGGGAAACTATTTCACAACTTCTCTAAGGTACATCTCAGGAACAATTAGATGAAGTCAAAAATAATATTTAATACCTAAAAGTAATGGCTATAGGTGCTTCAATGTGCACAATGTCTGTATAAGCTAATGCCAGCACTGAGTAGCTGGGCTCTGCATTTAATTTGCTATAAACAATATAATGGACTGCTAATGACCACCACGCAAGAAGAGGCATCTTCTTCTTTTAGTCTTAAATAAATCTTTGCAAGTTAATCCAATTGTTTTATTGTTCACTTTTGTATGCAGTGTATCAAGCACACAGTGTAATTTGCTTTTTATACAATCTAAACTGCTTATAGTTCTTCAGGGAAAAAATAAAGAGAAGAGAGAATGGAAATTTATACTTCATTATCACAATCTTATTTCAGAGTTTCAAAGAGATGAAGGTGGTACAGTATTAGTTTAGTGAGAATAGAAGAGGAATAAAGGAAAATAAATTAAATATATGGTATTCAGAATAACACGCATGCATTATTATTATTATTATTTTACAGTACATTGCTTCCCCCTCCCACCTCCCCCCCCCCCAGCTGCATTGGCACTTCCTACTATATGAGAGATGAAGGTTGAACAAATCCACAAGGGCCGTGACAAGGATTCTAACCTGCATCCGGGAGCATCCCAGACACTGTGTTAATCGACTGAGCTACGACAGGATTAAAAAGAGTTGAAACCGAAATTCTACTCAACTTACTGGATCCCGCAGCCTCTCCGAAGATCCAGTAAGTTCAGTAGAACTTCAGTTTCAACTCTTTTTAACCCTGTCATAGCTCAGTCGATTAAGGCAGTGTCTGGGATGCTCCCGGACACAGGTTCGAATCCTCGTCACGGCCCTTGTGGATTTGTTCATTTGATGCATCACGTTAGTGTGATTTCTGTGTGTAATGAAGGTTGAAGGTGGCTTCTGTACCCCTTTCCTGTCTGCTGGGGACAGGAAGGGATGTACAGAAGTGGGCACTTAGGAAGGTGCCCACTTTCCTAAGATTCCTGTTTGGGTCATCAGACATGCTGGGTTTTTGTAATACTAGCCAGGCTTGTGCACTAGATAGCATCAAGTAGTCAATCACATTAAAAATCAAAATTAAATAGACAATTACAGAAAATGAAAGCCTAATTTTTAACAGAAAAAACAAAAGATGGATCAAGTGAGATTTAGAAATGAGGGGGGGGGGTGAATAATAATATAATAATAATTTTTATTTAGGCAAAGGTACATACATAAAGATATTTTACAAAGTTTGTTGGCTTTATAGATAGAGCTAGTACATACAATGCCTAAAGCCACTATTACGCAAAGCGTTTCGGGCAGAAACGCAGAATATGCAGAAACGCAGAAACGCAGAATAGCTTATATCACGCAAAACATAGAAAAAACCTACTACATTTTATTTGGAAGTAGATCAAAGTAAATTCACCTTCAAGTAGATAATGGTAACATTAGCTTGAACAATCCTGTCATGGCATATATGGGGGGGGGGGGTGGTATGAATCTTTATAAGGCGTCGGTAGTTAAATTACAGAGATGATTGTGTAGAGGTGATGCAGTTTAGGCTAGGTGTTGGTAAGTGGGCGCAAGAGGCCCCCGATGGGCATGGTGCACATTGGCACAGAACAAGTAGGATAAGAAACCCTTGTATATTGTATGTAACAATATTTTTGTAAATTACAAAAAATAATTTTTGTAAATTACATTTATAAAACCCTGTTCTTAAATGTAAACCCTGCTGTGAAACTCTCCCTGGACAGATGTAAAAGGACCCATTATCACCACACCAGAAATAAATATCTCTGATATCCCCAGAGTCAAACTTAATCTGTGTAAACACTCTATGCAAATAAAGGGACCCAGTCTATGGAACTCACTCCCTAATGAACTGAAAAGCTGTCCAACTTTTGCCTCATTCAAAAGCAAAAACTAAAAAGTACCTAATTTCATCTTCATAGTTTCCTTCCTTGTGCATTAAAATTGCACTGTATCTAGTGCTACCCAATCTCCCAATCTTTATGTACCAAATCCAAACAACTTTACTATTATGATCATTGCTGTCTTCTTATATGTGCTATCAGTATGTTGTATTGTGCCTATTAATCTTTGTTAAATTACCAATCAAGCTTTCAATGCAATCAATCAGAGCTACCGATGTGCTTTAATACCTACTAAGCTCTCTCATCTCCTTCAGTACATCGTGTTAATACATACATAGACACACATCACAAACAATAAACATATTACTAAACATTCTGAGAGATATGAATAAGTTCCCTGCCCGAAACGCTTTGCGTAATAGTGGCTTTAGGCATTGTATGTACCAGCTCTATCTATAAACCTAGCAATTTTTGTAAAAATCTCATATATGTATGTACCTTACCTGAATAAACATTTATTTATTTATTTATTATTTATTATTTATTTATTTATTTATTTATAAACATCTACATTTCCTGTTGACCTATGTGACAGTCGGGTGGGTTGTCAGATTGGGCTACAAGTAGCGAATTGGGCTACTTTTGAGAGCCCCGCGCTCCCAAATTTTTAATTTCGCTACTTGCTGCTTTTTTGACTAATTTAAAAGCAAGTTGGGCTAATTTGGGCTATTAATGTTAAGCAACTCAATGATGATTATTTATGGTCAGATGCAACACAAACAAGCACCCCGCGATAGCAACCATAGACTGACAATTTAAATGCGAGCACAGAACGCAGTATATCCTTTTACGGCCAAAGATCACATTCACTCCAAAAAAATCTTCCACTTACAGGCTATTCATGCCTGTGCCACCTCTTGGGTAGCTTAATCTTCATCAATCAATCACAAATAAGGAACAACGATTTCAAGTTCAGTTAGTTTAGTTTAGTTTGGTTCATTTATTATGCACCCCATACCCATCCCGTGGGCGGTAGTGGAAAGGGTTACAGAGGCACATAATGGGCTCAGGAACTAAACCCCACAATTCATTTAGCTAAGCAAGTTACAATCTTGTTGAGCTAGTTACAAAATTCAATATAAGTCGTCACATCAACAATGGGTTCGAGATCGACCTCAAGTACAGGTTCTAAATTAAGCAACTGACATATGTGGAGAGCTAATGTCACAATTTATATGTTTGTCCTGCACACCGTCCCCCATTCAGGGGGCTAAAAATGAAAAATGGCCTAATTTAACATATGTGCTAAAAATATTAACATAAATAATTCGTTTGTTAGATAACAAGATATTCATAGCAATAAGGTTTCTTGGAATGGCCTATAATGCACGCAAATACTAGTTTACGCACTTTTCGGGTAGTACGCCTGGAATTTCAAAATGGCGTTCAAACGGCGGTTGGTCGTTGAAAGCTCTGCCAGTACCGTCGCTGCCGCCAACGCGACAACATGTACCGCTGATTTCCGACATATGCAACATTGCTCCAGGTAAGAGTGATAATTCTTTTTGACATATTTATATCTTATATATACACAGTATATAGAATTATATAATATAATGGGGTTTCGCGTATGCAGTTTGCTTCGAACAATGCCTATCAATGTTAGTTTAGTTCGTTTATTATGCACCCCATACCCATCTTGTGGGCTACCTTGAGGTGCATCTGGGGCTTAGTGTCCCCGCGGCCCGGTCGTCGACCAGGCCTCCTGGTTGCTGGACTGATCAACCAGGCTGTTGGACGCGGCTGCTCGCAGCCTGACGTATGCGTCACAGCCTGGTTGATCAGGTATCCTTTGGAGGTGCTTATCCAGTTCTCTCTTGAACACTGTGAGGGGTCGGCCAGTTATGCCCCTTATGTGTAGTGGAAGCGTGTTGAACAGTCTTGGGCCTCTGATGTTGATAGTTCTCTCTGAGTACCTGTTGTACCTCTGCTGGGCGGTAGTGGAAAGGGTTACAGAGGCACATAATGGGCTCAGGGACTGAACCCCACAATTCATTTAGCTAAGCAAGTTACAATCTTGATCTAGTTACAAAATTCAATACAAGTCGTCACATCAACAATGGGTTCGAGATCGACCTCAAGTACAGGTTCTAAATTAAGCACCTGACATATGTGGAGAGCTAGTGTCACAATTTGTTTGTCCTGCACACCGCCCCCCATCCAGTGGGCAGCGGTGGATAGGTTACAATCACTCGGTTACTATACCTACAGTTAGCAGACTGGGGATATTTGGCTAAAATTTCTGGTAGCAGATCAGGTCCCCCATTTGTTCCGATTTTTTTTCAAATTGGATTTTACAATTCAAGTGTTATGTTATTTACTGCTTTAGCAGATAGGCGGTTCCATGGGTTTATAACCCTGTGGGTGAAAATATAGCTTATGTTTTCAGTCCTACACTGCGGCTTGTTGGACTTGAAACCGATGTTCCTTGTTTGTGTTCCATCTGACCTTTTGAAGTTGTTCTCTGGATCCATATCTTCGAAACTGTTCAATATTTTAATAGGCAGGCGATGAGTCACAATAACGTGGCTGAAGTATGTTGACCAGACCACACACTAGAAGTTGAAGGGACGACGAGTTTCGGTCCGTCCTGGACCATTCTCAAGTCGATTCAAGTCGATATTTTAATAGTTTCGGTGAGATCCATCCTGGCATGCCTAGTTTGCAGTGTTGTTAGCCCTGTGACCCTCAACCGTTCATGGTATGAAACTAGACCTCATTCTGCAATTATTTTTGTCGCCTGGTGTTCAATTTTCTCCATGAAAGGTTGGGCGCGGCGTGGGTTCTCTGTCGGCCTCCAAGTGGGTTCTCTGTCGGGCCCCAAGTGGGTTCTCTGTCGGGCCCCAAGTGGGTTCTCTGTCGGGCCCCAAGTGGGTTCTCTGTCGGGCCCCAAGTGGGTTCTCTGTCGGGCCCCAAGTGGGTTCTCTGTCGGGCCCCAAGTGGGTTCTCTGTCGGGCCCCAAGTGGGTTCTCTGTCGGGCCCTAAGTGGGTTCTCTGTCGGGCTCCAAGTGGGTTCTCTGTCGGGCTCCAAGTGGGTTCTCTGTCGGGCCCCAAGTGGGTTCTCTGTCGGGCCCCAAGTGGGTTCTCTGTCGGGCCCCAAGTGGGTTCTCTGTCGGGCCCCAAGTGGGTTCTCTGTCGGGCCCCAAGTGGGTTCTCTGTCGGGGCCCCAAGTGGGTTCTCTGTCGGGGCTCCGGGGTGGGTTGTCGGTCGGGGCTCCGGGGTGGGTTGTCGGTCGGGGCTCCGGGGTGGGTTGTCGGTCGGGGCTCCGGGGTGGGTTGTCGGTCGGGGCTCCGGGGTGGGTTGTCGGTCGGGGCTCCGGGGTGGGTTGTCGGTCGGGGCTCCGGGGTGGGTTGTCGGTCGGGGCTCCGGGGTGGGTTGTCGGTCGGGGCTCCGGGGTGGGTTGTCGGTCGGGGCTCCGGGGTGGGTTGTCGGTCGGGGCTCCGGGGTGGGTTGTCGGTCGGGGCTCCGGGGTGGGTTGTCGGTCGGGGCTCCGGGGTGGGTTGTCGGTCGGGGCTCCGGGGGGGGTTGTCGGTGGGGGCTCCGGGGTGGGTTGTCGGTCGGGGCTCCGGGGTGGGTTGTCGGTCGGGGCTCCGGGGTGGGTTGTCGGTCGGGGCTCCGGGCAGGCTTTAGGTACTCAACTGGCGGGCTCTGGGTGGGTGACTGTTCGGGCTCCAGGTGGGTGTCTGTCCGGCTTCGGGTGGGTTCTTGGTAGGGCTTGGGGGGTGTGGGTAGGGCTTGGGGGGGTGTGGGTACTTGGGGGCTTGGGGGGGTGGGTTCTTGGTAGGGCTTGGGGGGGTGTGGGTTCTTGGTAGGGCTTGGGGGGGGGGGGTGTGGGTTCTTGGTAGGGCTTGGGGGGGGTGTGGGTTCTTGGTAGGGCTTGGGGGGGGGTGTGGGTTCTTGGTAGGGCTTGGGGGGGGTGTGGGTGGTAGGGCTTCTTGGTAGGTAGGGCTTGGGGGGGTGTGGGTTCTTGGTAGGGCTTGGGGGGGTGTGGGTTCTTGGTAGGGCTTGGGGGGGTGTGGGTTCTTGGTAGGGCTTGGGGGGGTGTGGGTTCTTGGTAGGGCTCGGGGGGGGGTGTGGGTTCTTGGTAGGGCTCGGGGGGGTGTGGGTTCTTGGTAGGGCTCGGGGGGGTGTGGGTTCTTGGTAGGGCTCGGGGGGGTGTGGGTTCTTGGTAGGGCTCGGGGGGGTGTGGGTTCTTGGTAGGGCTCGGGGGGGTGTGGGTTCTTGGTAGGGCTCGGGGGGGTGTGGGTTCTTGGTAGGGCTCGGGGGGGGTGTGGGTTCTTGGTAGGGCTCGGGGGGTGTGGGTTCTTGGTAGGGCTCGGGGGGTGTGGGTTCTTGGTAGGGCTCGGGGGGGTGTGGGTTCTTGGTAGGGCTCGGGGGGGGGGTGTGGGTTCTTGGTCGGGCTCGGGGGGGTTGGGTTCTCTGTAGGGCTCGGGGTGGGTTCTTGGTAGGGCTCGGGGTGGGTTCTCGGTAGGGCTCGGGGCGGGCTCCAGGTACTCAACTGACGGGTTCCAGTTCACTCAACTGGCGGGCTCCGGTTCACTCAACTGGCGGGCTCCGGTTTATAAAACTGGCGGGCTCCGGGTGTTTGACTGGTCGGGCTCCGGGTGGGTGACTGTTCGGGCTCCAGGTGGGTGTCTGTCCGGCTTCGGGTATGTTCTTGGTAGGGCTTCGAGGTGGGTTCTTGGTAGGACTTAGGGTTGGCTCCCGGTCAGGCTCAGGGTGGGCTCTTTCGGGTTCGGGATGGGCTCTCGGGCTTGGGGTACCTCTGTAGGGCTCGGGGTAGGTTCTTGGTCGGGCCCAGGGTGGGTTCTCTGTAGGGCTCAGGGTGTTTTCATGGTAGGACTAAGGGTGGGTTCTCTGTAGGGATCAGGGTGGGTTCTCGGTAGGGCTCTGGGTGGGTTCTCGGTCGGGCTCGGGGCGGGCTCCAGGTACTCAACTGACGGGTTCCAGTTCACACAACTGGCGGGCTCCGGTTCACTCAACTGGCGGGCTCCGGTTTACTAAACTGGCGGGCTCCGGGTGTTTGACTGGTCGGGCTCCGGGTGGGTGACTGTTCGGGCTCCAGGTGGGTGTCTGTCCGGCTTCGGGTGGGTTCTCGGTAGGGCTTGGGGGTGGGTTCTCGGTAGGGCTTGGGGCTGAGTTCTCGGTAGGGCTTGGGGCTCGGGGTTCTCGGTAGGGCTTGGGGCTGGGTTCTCGGTAGGGCTTGGGGCTGGGTTCTCGGTAGGGCTTGGGGGGTGGGTTCTCGGTAGGGCTTGGGGGGTGGGTTCTCGGTAGGGCTTGGGGGGTGGGTTCTCGGTAGGGCTCGGGGTGGGCTCTTTCGGGATCGGGATAGGCTCTCGGGCTTGGGGAACCTCTGTAGGGCTCGGGGTAGGTTCTTGGTCGGGCTCAGGGTGGGTTCTCGGTAGGGCTCGGGGCGGGCTCCAGGTACTCAACTGACGGGTTCCAGTTCACTCAACTGGCGGGCTCCGGTTCACTCAACTGGCGGGCTCCGGTTTACTAAACTGGCGGGCTCCGGGTGTTTGACTGGTCGGGCTCCGGGTGGGTGACTGTTCGACTCCAGGTGGGTGTCTGTCCGGCTTCGGGTGGGTCCTTGGTAGGGCTTGGGGTGGGTTCTTGGTAGGTATTGGGGCTGGGTTCTCGGTAGGGCTTTGGGCTGGGTTCTTGGTAGGGCTTGGGGGGTGGGTTCTCGGTAGGGTTTGGGGGGGTGGGTTCTCGGTAGGGCTTGGGGGGGTTGGTTCTCGGTAGGGCTTGGGAGTGGGTTCTCGGTAGGGCTTGGGGGGGTGGGTTCTCGGTAGGGCTTGGGGGAGTGGGTTCTCGGTAGGGCTCGGGGCGGGCTCCAGGTACTCAACTGACGGGTTCCAGTTCACTCAACTGGCGGGCTCCGGTTCACTCAACTGGCGGGCTCCGGTTTACTAAACTGGCGGGCTCCGGGTGTTTGACTGGTCGGGCTCCGGGTGGGTGACTGTTCGGGCTCCAGGTGGGTGTCTGTCCAGCTTCGGGTGGGTTCTTGTTAGGGCTTGGGGTGGGTTCTTGGTAGGTATTAGGGCTGGGTTCTTGGTAGGGCTTGGGGGTGGGTTTTGGTAGGGCTTGGGGGTGGGTTTTGGTAGGGCTTGGGGGTGGGTTTTGGTAGGGCTTGGGGGGTGGGTTCTCAGTAGGGCTTGGGGGGTTGGTTCTCGGTAGGGCTTGGGGGTGGGTTCTCGGTAGGGCTCGGGGTGGGCTCTTTCGGGATCGGGATAGGCTCTCGGGCTTGGGGAACCTCTGTAGGGCTCGGGGTAGGTTCTTGGTCGGGCTCAGGGTGGGTTCTCGGTAGGGCTCGGGGCGGGCTCCAGGTACTCAACTGACGGGTTCCAGTTCACTCAACTGGCGGGCTCCGGTTCACTCAACTGGCGGGCTCCGGTTTACTAAACTGGCGGGCTCCGGGTGTTTGACTGGTCGGGCTCCGGGTGGGTGACTGTTCGGGCTCCAGGTGGGTGTCTGTCCAGCTTC